ATCTGCTTTCCCAGAACTCGGCCCAAGTCCCAGGACGTAGTAGCTGCCCAGTGAACCAGTATAGCACCAGTTAAAGGAATGAATGAAGGGAGGGGATCGTGGCCACACTGTACCATATTGAAGCCCTGCTGGTAACTGTTGGTGACCATTAAAATGGAGAGAGTAAGTCAGAGGGAAGGGGCTGGAGGGCAGAGCCAACTGCCCAGTGGTATTGCTGGTGAGCAACCCTAAGATTTGGGAAAGGTGGAGCCTGCTTCTTAGGCTGGGGGGGGGGTGGTGTTGGCTATGGGTGTGAGCGGACAGGTCACAAGGCGCAAGGTGAGCTTGAGTGACTAAGGACTGTGTATCAGCCGCGTGCACCAGAGCAGTGAAACGCATACTTTGCAGAAGCTCTCAATGTGTCCTGGGGCAGGGACAATTATGATTCCCATTTTACTGATTCAAGGCTGAAGCTCAGAGCAGGCAAATACTTTGCCCAGAGCCACACAGCTGTCAAGCAGTGGAGGGGGAACTCAAAGGCCTGACTTAGAGCTGACCTCCTTGGACAGCCCAGGTGGTCGCCCAGGCTGGCCCTGGGTCCCCGTTTTATAGATGGGTCCAGAAGGGCCAGGCAACTTCCTCAAGGTTGGTGACAGAGCCAGGATTTAAATGCAGACACTTTTACCCTGAGCTGTCATTGTGAGTTACCCTGCTCTGCCACCTCCCCAAACAGTCCCTTGCATTGGGTCCCCATCTGTCCTTGTCCTGGGCTTCGGCCTGCTGCCTTCTCATCGGTCCCTCTCACAGGCCTGCCACCATGTCCTCCCGTCTGCCCCCTGACCCAGAGCTCCATAATGAGTCCCAAGGCCGCGTGGCCTCACCTGATCTCGTGCTGCTGCTGGATGTTCATGCCGCCGATCAGCCAGCCCACCATCCCGGGGGCCATCCTCCCCGAGACGTTCAGACTGTCCAAGAGGTGGATGTTCTGGATTCGGTCCTCTGCCTTGTGATTCATGAGGCCCTGGGCAATAACTGGAAAAGGACAAGG